CTTTTAATAAAAAAATAAAAAAACGATGTATGTCAAAAGCACGCTTTCTCAGTTTTTCTGATGTAGTTTTATATTTTATTTTTTTTTTTTTAAAGCTTACTCGTTGTCAAAATTATATCAAAGAAAGGTGTTCGTATTAAATATTACGAACGGAATACTATATATATATATATATATTTATGTGTTTTATCTCAATACGTAATATTATAGTTGTAGATATTATATTTCGATTTACACCTATGGGTACGTCGAGAGTTTTTTTAAGAATTAATAACAACCGGCTATTCAATCCGGAACACGTAATACGTTTTCGGACGCGTAGAGAATTCGCATTTCATCCATATCCACTTATTATGAGTTTCTATACGGCCGACAACACAAAGCCCTCGTACGATATTATTATAATATTCGCGTCCCTCGGTCTTGCATATTATATTTTAATAACGGTTTTTCGACGATCGAATCGTTCGTGTTGGTTTAGGCGTTTTCGCGACGCGAATTCGCTTTTGAAGCGTTCGAAAAGGCCCGGGTCGGAGAATATAATGATTATAACAACAATCATAATACCTTGACGTGGTAACCTAACCTGCAGACACGTTAACCGCCTATAATTACCAACAATAACGTGTCCCGGTGACCGTAAATATTTATACTGGACCCCGGGCACGGTATCGGATATTATTGAGTTGTACAGGACACCCGACCAGCGATTCAATATACGTGTATCATATCGTTAGCCTATCAATATTTGCAATAAAGATCATTGTAATGTTATACGTTCGGCCGGGGTGCGACGGCGAGACGGCGAGACGACGACGACGACGGTGCTGCGCGAACAAAAAAAAGTATGATAAAATAACGAAAAATGAATAAAATATTACGAAAAAATCGAAAGAGATTGCCGGGGAAAGGTACGGCGACGGCGGCGGTGTAGAATTACGCCGAGTAAAGAGATGATATACGTACACCCGTACACCACGCGCAGACGTTCGTCTAGAAAATACAATAAAAAATGGAAATGAACAAATTCTGCTTCGCGAAAATATTCGCGCGTTCTCGGTGGAATAAAATTGTAATTTTTTTTTTATTCACGACACAATATTCAATTTGCATTATTTTATATATAATTCGCGTCGCTATCAAAACGGTATATTATTATTACGTAGGTAGTGTAATATATAATACACTAACTCCGAAAACGCTGTTATACGAGTTGTATCGCTATTCTTATGGCGAACACGCAGTTCTTTACGACGGGCCACCGTGTTTTCTTATGTCTACGAAATTGAATCAGTTACACGAGAAAATACGACGGGGGCGTATTTAGTTTTACATTCAACCCGCTCCCTTCACTTCCCCCCCCGTCTACCTGAGAAAACCCCTACCACCCGTCGGTAGTCTATAGCCGGGATTACAGTACATCCAGACTGTTGCGATAAATGGTACAGTAATGACATAATTGGCTCGTAGTATTTTTACGGGACGATTTTATATTACCCTCGGAGACTTTTGTTCGATTTATTTATTTTCGATAACCCCGCCCGCGGTCCAGTGATACTAGTAATGTAGAATTGGTGGCAAGGACGACTCAGCGGGGGGGGGAAGGTAAGTAGGGCAGTTAAGTAGGGCTTGATTCTCGTTGGATTTTTTTCTGGGTCAACTATCATACCTAATCTTTATGCAATATATAATATCGCAAAATAAAAATGTTCTTTTGGTTTTATTAGGTATAGGTATTCATTTTATGTTATCGTATATAAAAATAAAATGAACGAATTAATTTCAAAATGATTCGATTGTTATTTATTTATTTCGTAAAACGTGGAAACGGTTCATTTTATAAACAAGCTAAAACTATAAAATCAGCGGTAATTAAAATTGTACTAAAAACAAAAAGGAACTCATTAGTCAATTTAAAACTTTTTTACATATAAATTAGTTGAAATTAATACTGCAAGATTGAGTTTTAACTATCTTCACAATTCATAAATTATTTTAACATTATCTAATTTTATCACTAAACGGATAGTGAAACTAAAAATTAAAATATGTTGCTTCCCCTTGACAAATTCCAGCAGACACTTTTGATTATACAGGTATATATATATTTGTCAATAAAATCGATATTAATTTAATTTTGTCAGCAGTTGATGTTCTTAACACCAGTGTTGGGAATAGATAATGCAAAATCTATCTAGATAAAGATAAAAGATAATATTTGTCTGTGAATTCATCTAAACAAATATAATAGATAAAAAAATAATAGGTATTTTTAGAAAATGATATATATTTATATTTCATATTAGCTGAAATTGTATTTATTTTTTTTGGATAAAGAATTAATCAAAATACCCAAGATAGGTGTTAAAAAACGCTTCGTATTAAAATTATGAAAGTATGATTATTAACTTATAAATTAGTATATAGTCCTAGGTTAATGGGGACGAGTGCAGCCACTGTTTATAGGCAGTATTGCGCAAAGATAACTAAAAATTTATCTAGATAAAGATAAAAGATAAAACACAATTTATCTAGGTAAAAAATAAAACAAAACAGTTTTAATTTTATTAATTAATCTACAATTTTTTTTGTCGTTTTATACTATATTCTACAATTTACAATTTCTATTAGAATTTAGAAATAACATAAATAAGCGACCCGGATAACATTACCTATTACTTTATGTTTTTAATTTTGTTCTCTATTTGTACAAGGCTAATTGACTAATGAAACATGGGTTTCAACTTACAAGTTTAACTTTTCAAATTTCTCGGATAGTTATATATATTTATTTATCCAGATTAATTACGTTAAATAACTCAATTATTCATCAAAGATAATTTATCAGATAACTGATTTTGTTTTTTATCTAGATAAGATGAAAGATAATTAATTTATATGATGTTCAATACTGATTATGGGTATTTTAATGTGTATTTGTTAACAAAGATAAATTAATTTAGATTAATTTTAATGACTATTATTTAGTCCTCTATTACTAATGAAAAAACGATTCTGAGCGGAGTTCAGTTTATAGTGATGCTTTGTCAACAATATATATGTCATATTATGGTAAAATAATTTAGTAAGTTTATTCTGTACGTTTTTGAAACATTGATAGGTAGCGTTATATTCCAATAGTGGTATGGTTGTTTTTAGCAAAATGCGTAATCTGACATTTTTAACTCAGTTAACCTAAATCTAGGTTTTACAATTTTAAGGGTTGATTTTTTCTGACAATTATCTAGATTAGTAAACATTTTATTTTAGACAAGTACTTAGATAACTTGGTTATATTTATCTCGATAAAATAAAAGATGACTAAAAATCCATCTAAATAAGACCCAAAAGTTCTTAATACATATCATGACTCATCCGTATTTTAACAGTCTGTAACACGTGTTTAGCAACAATTTATGGTACATTTTTTATTGTTTAAAATTATTTAATTTCAAACAAAATACGTATTCCGTAGTAGGTGTTTTTTTATGGAATTGGAACACTCTAAATACCGTGGAGCGATTGACCTCGTTTGCTCCCCCCTCACCTCAAATACGCCCTTATTGTACGGTAAGGTATTAAAGAAAATAATGGGTTACTATAAAAGCAATGGTATAGTATCTAAAAATAAAAATACACTGTCGCAGTATTGCGCTACAATTAATTTTAACGACTATATTACTTTAGTCCTCTATTGCAACATTATTGTATTTACTATCAAAGAAGAAAAAATTAATTCGACCGTGAGATAGTTGAATTGTTTGAAAAGTGAATGATGATAAATAAAGTCTATTTGTTTTACAGACGTTTAAAAATGCGTAAATCTCGAAATTCATTACTCTCGAAACGTGGTTTTTCATGTTACGACGGGAGCGCAGCGAAATTTGGACAGGCAAAATTCGGAAAATAAAATAAACGCCGGTGCAATTACGAACGGTCCAAGTTACACCGTTCCGATTCCAAATGCCGATTTTCCAAGTTATGGTATCCGTCCGTTATTGCCGTTCTGACGGCACGGCACTTGATATTATTTTGGTTATGACGAAGTTAGACGCAGACGATGAGAATAGAATACAACAATATTGTGTTTCAATGGCGATTATAATTGCATTTTATTTCGACCGGTTATTATTTTAAATTACCATCAATTAAAATGAACGTGTACTTATGTTATTTTAACATTGTTTTAATCTGCTTACAAATAATAACCGTAGGTGCGAACACTCGTAAAACGAAACGTTTAAGTATGGGTATACGTGTGCACACGTCATAATCAATTATAATATTCTCGTTGAACGCATTCATACAGCGAGTTTATGGATGTAATAAGTACACGGTAATTTTAACATTACCGAATCAGACGAATCCTATAAATAAATAATAATGTCACCATTATTACAATACTATTATTACAGTGACCTCGTTCGGGCTGTATTGTTACACGCATGCTCGTGTGAATAGTATTAAAAACGGTAATGAACGAGTGCGATATTTCAGAAACTTGGTAGATATTTTTATCGACATTTTTGAATTTCGAACGTATCCGAAATATTATCATTCTGTTAATATTGCTTTGGTTTGGTAGATCCTATCACGTCGGTCCGATAACGGTCAAACTTGACCGTATTGATGAGACGCTGTAGTCTCGGTGACATTTGTGGGTCGATCAAAGGTCGAGTCGACGCGCCGAGGCTACACCGACGACTCAGCTACCGGAGTTTCTATAGCTACACTGGGTCCCGGGGTACCTTTTGTCCGTCACTCACCCCGTTCCCACTGTATCGGCAAGGCTGAATTTTCGAGATTATAATAATTTATCTCGCTCAGTTTTAGAGTACTTCAGCGCCAAAGTACGCGTCTTAACTACTTAGTTACCGATTGTTTTTCTTGTTTTCTTTACTTATTCATCTATAACGGTCCTACGTTTAATGTAACTCCGAAAAGCCGTTCCGTGTTAATCGCCTGAAATAAATACAATATACTAATAGGTATAATATTAATAGCGGTACGAATGTACACTGTTCAGTGGTGATGCACAGTAAAAAAAAAGACAAGATACAGCCGATGTGTGTATGCCACTGTTGTAGGTGGGAAGTTGGGAAGGTAGAAAATGTATAGAACCGTTTAATTTACACCTGTACAATGCTATGATAAGTTTTAGTTTTTATTTTATTTCTTTTGTTTCGGTGTACAACTTTTCTTCCTTGGCTTCAGGCAAAAAACGGTCGCTAGAATGTTTGTTTATAGCATTTTGGATTTAGTTGGTGTATTGAAAATGTAATTTTTTAATATTTATTGTAGTTTTTATAATAATTGTGAAAAATGAAGGAAAAAACGTAAAAAAACAGAAAAGTTCACTGCAATAACAGTTATTAAAACAGTTGTGTTTTTGTTTTGTGTGATTCGGTTAAAAATAATCGTATACGATTGAGACCTGTAATGTTATTCTATCCTTTTCTAGAAGTGGTCACATATTTTAAAAGAATTCTGGCAATTTTCGAAATATTTATATGCATTTGACATATTGATCGTAAAAATCACGAAATTTCAAAACATGTGTTAAACATAAACTTCGTTCAGAATTGTAATTTGTCAACGTTCATTATGTATTGATATTATAGATTCAGTAATTTCCCATCTGGGAATCTGTTGCATAACCATCAGCAGCAGATAGTGATACTGCTATCAACTCGATTTCGTATTCAATTTTAAAATATTAAACTATGATTTTATTTCTATAGGTTATCACTATTATAGCTATTGATTATTACTTATATATTATTAATGAACCGATTATTCTGTAAAATGTTTAATGTAAACGATGATCGTGTTCAGGTTCAGTTCTTAATATTATTATTTTTTACAAATTATTACTATGATTATTCACGAGGTTTCGATTATAAAATCCTCTTGGTAATTTGTATACAATTTTAAACTTTATAATAGGTAAGTATCTCTATGTTATAGTACTTCATTCGTTACGCTATGTTAAAATGTGCAGAAAGTTTAGCAGAAAACATCCATAATGCAATTCGTATATTATACGAAAATGCATAATATTAATAAACTTATAAAATACGTTTCAATTAAAATAATATTTACGGTATACCGTGCTAACGTAGTGGTTTGGGGGATATAATATACCGAGGCCTGCAGTGGCGTAATTGAGAATGTTTTAACAGGGGGTGGTATTAAAATAAATCTTCATGGCAATCTTGTGGGAGGTTACCATTTATTCTGTCATAAACTGTTAAGAATATTGTTTACCTAGTATAATAATAAACTATGAATATTTTGGTACCTATACCAATACAATAAAATATTTATAATTGTTCAATTTCATAGTAGTTTTGAAAATTTGCATTTAAACATCCCATTTATATAAAATAACAATATACTATATAAATACGGCTTTTAGGGAGGATCTATCCCTCATATCCCCCTCTTAATAATTACACCCCTGGAGACCTGGCGCTGGATCAAATACTTTTTCGACTTTTGAGGCCTAAAAGCATAGTTGTTCGGTGGGAGGAAAGGGACATACGCCACCTGGTTTTTTGGAGATAAATACATTAAATATTTAAAGGCTGAAAGCGATTGTATGAAAAAAAAAAGTCACCATTATAAATCTCTTATTTTCTGTACAAATTCCACATAGCATTTGTGCTCATAAATGTTTTAAATATTAAAGTTTTGAACTTTATTTAATTTTTGAATGTAATAAGAGTTAAGAACATAACGTGTAAAAAACTAATTAAATACCTAAAAAGAACGAAAGCGTTTTTACATTTTCAAATTAGTTGCCGAAATTGTTAAACGGGTCTGTTTATTTATTAATAAAAAATAGCAGAAGTATAATAATACTTAAAAGTTTTAATTATAATACAAATCGTAAGTATTCAATTTTTTTTTTCTTGATTTTTTTGAAGTGAAGTCGTTTACCTATAATATTTCGATTATCAATAACAGAAGCTATTTCTTATAGTTCTCTACAATGGTGTACCTACGTGAATTTAAAATAATAATTGACGATGATATAAAATTTTAGAAACAGCCTCGATCACGTAATAGGATAATTATTAACTGCCTGTAAATAAAAAAATGTGGCTTGTGGCTAAAACCTAAAAATATTTTGCTTGGAAATTTGTCGGCCGAGGTCTTTCATGAAGTGCGAGGCGCCGGACAAATGTTCAGTCTGCTATACCCTCCTACCATGCACAGCTATTGAATCTCACATGCGGGGGGCCCAAGAAAATTAAATAATATAGGAATATTGTACATCAGCGTTTCTCGACCGCAGGGTCGCGGCCCAATAAAATGGATCGCGGGTAATTTTAAAGGATCGCCGAAAAATTATACCTTAAATACAAATAATTTTTCGTAAACTATATTCCTTAAGAGGTCCGGTGGCAGTTTTTCAAATTTTCTCAGATTTTGAAAAATTTAAAAATTATTTTTAAAATTTCAATTGTTCTCTTACACGATACCCAATTAGAGAGAAAGGGTGGAGCCTCTTTTGTTGGTGAAAATGATTTCACGGTAATAGTGATAACTCATTGTCAATTCAATATTTTCATAAAAAAAAAATTCTTTATTGATAAGCAACATTTTACAGGCCGCATTGAACTCTGATTTCAAATAGTTAAAAAAAAAAAAAAAAAAAAAAAATGTTAAAAATTTATTTTTTTTAAAAGACTCATTATACATTTTCAGAATAAAATATTGAAAAACGGAATTGAATACGGTTTTTGTAGAATATTTTTCTCCAATAATAATTGAAATTGGTTAGTTCTACTGAACAGTATCACTATTCCCGTAGAGTGCGCTTTTGTGGGCAAAACGACATTGGCGCCGGGCCCCTCAACGAGCATAAATTCACAGTAATTTTGCACTTTAGCCTTTCAAATGCAATAAATATACTTTATCGGCTGTCATCCGTGGAAACGATTAAATCTGGTAAGTCGCTGACCCGCATAATATGTTTTAGGTACCAATATTGTTAATATTGCGAATTCCCCAAGGTACCTATTGCTCGTTTAATTGTGCATACAAGTTTCAACAATAAATATGAAAGGCAACGGTTTGTTTTAGTTATGGTTATTGTAAATCGTTTTCAAAATGGTCGCACGCGATTTTGGAGAGGGGGGGGGAAATATCTTCGACCGCCACCGCTGTTTTATATCCTTACGTGCATTATGGTAAACCAATATTGTCTTTTAAAATGTGTAACACGATTATAACTGGCGTTATAATCGATAACTCTGAACACGTCTAATGCCTACAAACGAACGTAGCGAACACAAGACATTTAAAATTAACATATTGTCGACTACCGAGCAAAACTACGTAAGTCGTAATTGTGTGCGTGCGAGTACAGCACAACTTTATGTACAGGCAGCGGCGGAATTGAGGCCGGGACTAAGAGGGCCCGGGTAGGGGGCCCGTTAAACTAACGTATAAGTTAAACGATTAATGACGTGAAATTTAGAAGCAACACAATTTAGACGAATTAAAATATTTTAGAAAGGTCTCTAAATATGCGATTTTATTGAATGTAACAACAATATAAAAAACTTGCAATGTATTACTCGTAACAAAAATGATATGAAATCGTTAAAGAAGTACTAATGACAGTGTTACCTGTTACAACGTTCACAAATTGTTTTTCAACTTTGAATAGGACTTTGAAATCGTGTTTGAGATATTAAATATCTATGATAAAATTAATGTAAAACCGGAAAATATTGATTCGTTCACTATTCGTAAACACTCGTTAACAATATGCTATAATAATCTTATTATTACAATCTTTGTACACAAATATTTTTAATTTTAACTTTGACCACTAACTCATAACGTGTTTGTTTTTTATAAATATATTATATGTGTTTTATTCGATTTGGGAAAATTGTATGACCCTCCCTCCCCCCGAAAAAGAAAATCCCAGATCTGCCGCTGTGCGTAGAAAATTTGTTGTGACATTTTCGAATTAGTCGGTGCCTTTTGGGGATGAGCTTTGGATTTTACTAGTAGTTTCTTCATCACAGATTTGTAAAATTTGTTAAAAATCGATTTACGGGGTTTTGCCGAGTAGTCAATAACGATGAAAATACCATGTAAAATAATTACAAGAAAAAACCACCGCCGCTCGCTCATTAGTTTTCATAATTTATATATACTCTTTTAATATTGTCATTAATAGTTTAATACGCGTAAACCACAAAAAAACATTACTTTAAAAAGATATACAATATTGCTTAATTAAACGACGTTTTCGGTACGATGTCGTTTAGAGAATTGATTGTTTATTAAAAAAAAAAAAACCAAAATCGTCATTAAAATCAACCCACTCAAAATTCTATAATTGTTCTTTCGCAATGCTTTTAAAATAAATAAATATATACATTTTTTTTTATCTCGCAAGTTTTGTATTTTACAAGACCATTATTATGATTGTTATTTTTAGTATTATTATTGTTATTATTATTATTATCATCATGTAGGCCATTTTTTTTTTTTTTTTTTTTGGGAGTTTTCGTGAACACGGTACGTTTTTATGAAAATATTATGATTTAATATTGCAGATAAATTTAATAACGAAGAATACCGATAGCGAATTCCGGGAATGTAAAAAAAAAAATGTAGAGTGTATCGACTATAGGGGGCTGTAGATGAAGGACTTGCGGTGTACAAAGACAATATCCGATTGTTCGAAAATCAATAATATCTGAAGTATCATCGGATCGAAATTATAATAATATACTAACCCATATATTTACACGTAAAAGGAAATAAAGGATAATTTAAAAAGAGGAAAAAAAGTCACAAACGTTTTGTGAATTATTCTGTAAAAAAAAAAAAGGGGAAAATATTCAAACGTATCTATACATGTTTTTATATTTTTTTCAAAAAAAAAAAATAATAATAATAATAATATACATTATGTTATGTGTATGCACATCATTGAATATACTGCAAAAATGCGTATATTAATTTTGCAGTTGTATATATATGATGATCAATAAACGTTATACGTACGATTTAATCTCATTGAGTTAAAAAATACTGGTCATTTTTAATTCGTATAATATACGAATTCGTATTATTTCACTGGAAATGTATTGACAAAAAAAAAAAAAAAAAAACAAATTTCATCTAACAGGTTCAACATTTTGATAAAAATGCAGTTACCAGTTTCGCGATTCACAACGCGAAACACTCGTTTTATTAATATGGAAAACAATCGAATTGTATATAAAATTCAGGAAAACGTGCTGTACGTGCACTGTTATAACCAAATAAATATAATGAAAGTTATTATTAATAATCAATTAATTATAATTAATTTAACGGTCAACCGTTAAATGTCAAAGGCCTCTTATAGATAAAAATATTAAAAAATTATTATTATAATAATTTTGTTTTTTTTTTATACATGTATAGTAGATATTATGTTTGAAGGACACATTGTCAAAACGGATATTCTGAACCTATCCCGTACAATATTCATCATCCGGCACTCGATAACGGTTACCTACACTTATTATAATATTATAGTAGTCGGCGGTATTTTTTAATCAATTATAATGATATACAGAGTCATTCAAATTTCGCGATTCAATCAAATTTATCATGAAATAACGATCATTTTTTCAAAAAGTGACACGTGTAAAAACTTTTTGGAATCATGTTACCTATATTCTGCATTGTCTGTATTTTCGCCATCTTTGTTTTTAGGAATGAAATGACAACCTATATTAAAAATTCCATAAATCGAGGGAGTGTTAGTTAAAATGCATTTTTGTGCTGAAATTATTATTGTCAAATTGTCATTAATTTAAAAAAAAAAAAAAAAAAAATAATGTTTTCATGGAAAACTTGTCTGAATCATGACATTTGAATGACCCTGTACATTATTTTGTTTTAGTGACAATATCAATTATTATTCTAAGTTATTCATTGAAATCCATGTTGAAAATATTCACTCGCTCAATTTAAATTTTTAACGGGACCGGATCGAGCCAATGAGTTACCGGAAGGAAAACTCGAAGGGCAGTGATAAATTTAAAATTTTTGGGCGGACGAAAATACTTTTTAACACAAATTACGGAAAGCTGACCAATAAAATTACGAAATCATAATAAATAGTAATAGAAGCGGAATACAAATGAATTATAATAATATTATAAATAATTATTATGGTCGTATATGACAATCGCAATTAACGTAGTCAATCAGTGGCGTACCCAGGAGAGCTAGGGTGGATTTAGCCCTCCCCCATTTGACGGTATCAAATACATAAAAACAATATATTATAAACTATTCGGCGTTGATAAATTATTCCTAATAAAGTAACAATCATTGCATATTTATTCAACCAAGTACAGTTTTTTTCAACGAAACATTTTTTTTTTTTTTAACAAGCTTTTTAGTTTGGCTTCTTCATTGAAAAATTCTAAAAACGTCTCTATATTATGACCAATAATACGAAGATCTACGACTGGTGTATCGATCGATTTGGTTATATTTTTTGTAGAAGTCTATCAGAATATTTATGGATTAAACAACAAGAATCGTCATTTAAATGCTTCAAAGACAAAATTACCCGATTGAGTGTCCGGGATGCTTCAAAATATAACTCGAGCGGTCCGGACTACCCACTCTTGTACTGTAGGTTCATGTAATTATTATTCCGTATATATACTTTATAATGTTATACTTTTTAATTTGTAACTCATTTTTCGAAAATATATATCGGGTACTTTTTTTTTTCCCACGGCGAACACGTGACGGCGAAACAGTCCCGTTCACGTGTGCATATATACTTTACTCACAAATCTACCGAAGATTCAGAATGTTTTTATGTTTCATTAACTTTTTTTTTCTTCTTTCGGCCTATATTTTTGCATACATTGCTGGCGTAAGAAACATTATTGAAATATATTTTGAAACGGTGTACCAGCTATCGGCCAACAATATTATAATATTTTTTAGTAAGTATGGAAATTTGATAACACTTTAAGAAACCTGTATATGGTGTCAAATTTCTTTTATTCTGACCGTTCTGTACTACGTTTCTATACCATCGTATTTTCTGGAAAAAAATGTTGTATAAAACAGTTGATGCATTGGAGAGATCGTTTTCTTTTATTTGCCTTATGCTTTTTTAACTGTTAGTGAAAAAATGATGGCACAGTTATCGACCTTTAAATGTTGGGAAATCGTAAGATAAAATTACACTTGACTCAGTCGATTAAGCAACATGTTTTTTTAAGTATTTTCGAATTTCTTTAAAAGTGAAAAAGCGGCCACGGGTTTAATTTTCGAGTTGATTTTAAATAGAGATGTAATTACGATAAGACGAAGAAAAATAAGCAGTTGGCGACGGAAATTTGATTTTTTTATAAAAATAATAATTATTAATTATTTTAATCCTCTAGATGGTGGTATCATCAAGAGGATTAAAATTATCGGAAACGACTCAGTGAGTGGCAATTTTCTTTATTTTTTTTTATCAATTTTTACTTAATACTTTTACTATCCGGAACTCTAAGATTCCAATTTGAACCAACCGAAACGAACGCAAAAAATAATATGACAAACCGAAACTCTACACAGTGTTTTAAAATGACCTTTTCGGACAAGAATAAAAACATATTTAATATTACAATTTCAAAATTGCATAGTATTGTAGTTCTAAAAATGCACTTTCACCTAGTCTAATTATTTTTTGTTTAAAAAAAAAAAAAAAAAACAAAAATTGCGAATAACACTAGATAATTAAGTTTATAACTGTATCCAACGTAATTAACTATAGTATTATAGTCCAACAAATTGTATACTTTAAAAGATTAATGAACGTAGAATATTCAATAACACTGATTGCAATAATATAATTTATATTACATTATAATAATATAATATAAACAGTGATGAATGAGCAATTTCACAAAATTCCTTTTATTTATTCTAACATTTTAAAAAATATCCTCTACAGTACATGCTCCATCGGGTTCTAAGACGTAATCAGTGATAACATTTGGATGATATTCTAACAGAAATATTGATTTAATTTTAAGCTGCAACTTGCAAACTTAATTTTGAAAAAGAATTGTATAAATTAATATTGTAGTTGAAATTATAAATAATTGAACTTAATAAACACCTGCAATTTACATTAGTTCAATAAGGTATGACTTTTTCTTAGATTCTGAAAGGAGCGAGGAGCATATTGGTTTTACAATGATTTGATTTTTTTTTCTATGAACAACTTTTTTACCAGAAATTTTATTCTGATTTTCAAGTATACCACGTCTTTTATAAAAAGAAATATTTTTGGGGTGGTACTTTAAAAAGGTCATTTTTTGATTTTCCCAGGAGTTTTCATAATAAATAAATACGAGTAAATTTAGGAAATGTATTATTTTCAAATCGTAAATATTACGGTCTTTCAAAACATAGACAACCGAACTTTGCTCAGGATCGTTTTTCGTTATCAATGATTAATCATTGTGTACAGAATATACATTGAATTTTCTCTCTATCTTCCCAACTTCACGTCTACGATAGTAGCTCACCCATCATGCGAAGTATGTCCATTTGTTTTTATTCTTTGTAGTATCCCATAAAATAAGGAAAAATAATTAAACAAATAGATAATAGGGACAGATGCAGTAACTGGTGTAAGTGGGAAGTTAGGAAGGTACGATGCAGACGATAATTTAATGTATATTTGTAAGCAACGATAAGCAATTGATTACGAAAAAACGATTCTGAGCAGAGTTCAGTTGATAGTGATGCTTTTTCAACAATATATGTATATAGAAAAATAATAAAATAGGCTCTATATATTTTCTTTAATATTTGTTTGATGTTGTACCAATTTTCTCAGTTTTACTACGTTTTACCCGGTTTTCCCGTGTTTCATCCCAGTTTTTCACATTTACTGGGACATTCTTGAGAAAATCAAAAAATACCCTCTCTAAATAAAGTTCCTCCCTAGTGAAATTTCCATTTAGAAACATTGCTATCATTAAAAGTCGGAGCAAAATTGCTGGTTGAACAGTTGTCCACAAAAAAACAAAAAAAAAACAATAAACATATTTGTAAAACTATAGGCTTCTTCGCTCCACTCAGAATTTAAAAGTCCAAATCTTAATGACTGATAAAAAAATTATTTATGTGGATTCAACTATTGTTGTCTGTTATCACCGTTATGCACTGTTCGTTAAGCAAATGTATTGGACAATAAATAAATAAATATGTATTAACTAATTTATTTCAGTAAACATGGTACGTCAGCATACATTTGTTTCTTATACAATTTTTCACCTATTATAATAATTACATCCTTTAGATGATCTTAACGTTCAACTGTACGGGCGTAAAGCACTAAATAAACACCTCATTAGTGTAAACGTGTTTGCGAAACCTATTCAATTAGTATAATTTAACATGCCGTGTGTATAATATGATACTTTAATGCATATAATTTGTAATTTGTCAAAATTACGTTTTAATGCTCACATTCATTAAATGTATGCGCGAAAACCGAATGCGATTTTTGCGAAAATTGTTGAATACCTATTTTAATTCACAAGCGATGTATTCCTTATTCCCTAACTATCTTGTTTTCAAGTAGAGATATAATATTTGTTTTTATTTTTTTCTGTTAAACCGCTGTTCGCCGTTCCGGTGCGGTCCGCGATCCATCTAGAGAATCGACTGTGACACGTAAACTTTCGAGCACTAACCGGTGTATAACGCAAACAGTCTGGCTACTTCGTATATTATAATGATATATCGGATGTATATAAACACTCGTCAGTGAGTTCGCGCTCACAAGTGTTTCGCGTTACATCAATCAATCAAATCATCCGGTATACTCGAAAATGTCAATACCTGTTCGTCCGGCAAATAAAAAGCCGACCCGGTATCCGGCAAACATTCATTTCTCGCCCCTCGGAAACTGGTACGCCGAACCCGGTGGCGTATTCTTATAGAAATCCCGCCAAAGGTTGTTTTTTTTTCTCGCCTTTATAACCTGTTATACCGCTCGTTGTCGTGTGCTTATACGATAATATTAGATTTCAGGAAAACGTAAAAAGAACTCCACTCGTACGAATATACATAGATACCCAGGCCGACAATGCGTATTTCCCGTCTGTGAACGAATTTTCTACTAATCAAATTCTTTTCGATCAACGACTTCTGCCGGGGCGGATTTCGGAAGACAATTTTGTTCAATTGGTGCTATGAGGGATTTCATTTTGAACGTTTCTTAATTTCTTAATTCTTCGATTACTTAGAAATTGGGCGATAAAAAGGTCGGAATATTTAAGTGAGAATCAGGTTTCTGTAGTTTCCGATTTCGTTTTTTTTTTTTTTTTTTGCTATTCAGTTTAAAAAACCTAATCGTAGAAATCTGGAAATGATGACCTACGATGCACGCAGTATGAACCTAAAGAAGCGAGCTCAGTAAATTTTACCCATGTTTATTTTTCTCATCCACCCGCGATTTCAGTAGGCCAAAATAAAAAGATGTAAATTAAACCATTACCTGTTACAAATCCTAACTATCGAATATTAACTACTTAATACTCCTTCATTGCATAACCTCAAGGGATATTTGAATTGTTTTTTTTTCCCGTGTTGTTCTTTACAGCCCCGAGTCGCATTAGCGAATAATTGAGAAAATTTCTAAAAGACCCGCAAAACCATAGATTAGGTAGGGTTTAATTAAAACCTTGTACATTTTTATCTGTTTTGTATAATTTGTGACCGGTGAAAATGTAAAAATTCAGTAATCCGATCATTCTGAAAACGTTACGTTATTATTTTAACGACTTTTCCCACATAGCATGCATAATATATAGCAAACCGAATTTCAACAATTCCGTCGGTTTCCTATGTACAGTTAACAAAACCCAATGATAACTTTCTATTACATTTTTTTTTTTTTTTTTTTGTTACAAAAATATAAACGAATTTATTGTCAATCGTCGAGTGGAAAAAAAAAACGCAATGATTCCGATAGGCCGACTATATACATAGGACAAACATATTACTATATTTTAGCACGGACATTTTCAAAATATATACGTACCCACCTATAACATATAAACAGTTTTGCGGGCTTTCATTGACTACGCTTTTGTCCGTACTGCGCTGTACTCGATAATAATACAAATAAATATCGGAGTGAGAAGAGTGACTGAGCGAAGATATTATAATGGTCTCTACAAATACAAAGGTGTGCGTGGGTATGATGTTTTTTTTTTTTTTTTTTTATCTACAGTCACGTTTTTTTTTTTTGTCGGAGCAAAAGAAACGTTATTTAAAAGTTTCGTGTATATCAATATTATTTTGTACTTAAATTGGACACAGTCGGCAGGTTCTTTGAAGAGCTCATTTTTACCCCTTCCTCACCACACCCCCGTAGTTTTTCTCGCGTTTAATGGCTTGTGAAAAACACTTAAAATAATCATACTTAAAAACTAATATTATTTAGGTAAACCTAAGGGAAAACGTTTGCGAAAATGTATTTCTTTTTGAAAATAATTACACAACGCAATATAATATACACAGATATACGTATACTTGCTAGACGTATTGTAAATTCGAACACGTGTCGAATTTATAATATAAGTATCAAATGCTATATATATATAAAAAGAAACTTTCCGATCAATTTAATACGAGGGACAATTTATCGTACTTTTGTAAAATATATTCCATTGGTATTTGGACACTATAGAGTTCAAATGTCGTAGGTAGCTCTGTAAAACATTTGAACAAAAAAACCGATACAGTGATATCGCTGCTATTACTGTGAGCGTGCCACCATCGTATAGGTGGCAAGTTGACAAAGTAGGATGTATAGAGCGATTTAATTTACATTTTACATGCAACCAATGCTAACAAAAAACGATTCTGAACGATGAATATTTTTACTATGAAGCACAAAATATGATAAACCTCAAGTTCAATGTTCGTGAATTTCTCTAGCCCAGATTAATTTAATCAACATTAAATCAAATACAAACTAAAAAACTCGAATATTTTAAATGAATAAATAATTAGCTCATACATTTCCAAAATATTTCAAAAAATGACCGCGTCCAGAAGGTACCGTGTATGAATTCGGTGAAAATGTCAAGTTTCCGCAATCATTTTCAACAGAATTACAACTAAAACATAAAATCAAAAATAACAGACCTCGTAGTTATGTATATTTTCTCATTTTTTTTTTCGTCGGTTTTTTTCAACTATTAAGGAAATTGCAAGTTATCTATACTCAGTTGTACAATAAAAGTGGGTAATTTAAAAAAACCACGACGGAAGAAGCCACACATTATATAGTGACACTTCCTATGATTTTTAAAAGTTGTTTTTTGTATCGTTTAGGATTGTCAACGTTTTAATAAGTCTCAATACGTTAATTATACGGTCAAAGTGTCTATAGGGACACTACCGGGATAATTCTATAATTACCGGTGTTAAGAACAGACGGTAAGTGTAATAGCTAAGGAATGGACAGAACGTCTCGTAAAAACTCTTGTATACGGTACGTAAACGCAAGTCTGTGTGAAGATTGTGATTGGAAATGTCAGACAGGGAAACGGCAGGCGCTACGCTGGTGTTACACTGAACAATACTCCGAGTGCGGATTGTGTATGGAATTTTCCTGGTGAGATAACGGGTTTAACTGACGCGCGTTTTCCGGTTTTACTCGGGCGTTTCGTTAAGTATATCGAATCGTCAAAAACGGCTAGATAGCGGTAATCACATAACATTAATTATGTATATTTATTCACCGTCGCGTAATATAACGATACGTCCCGCGAGGAATTAATATTCGTAATTAAGTGGTCCAAAGTTCAGGCCGTAATGCGTTTGATTATTAATAAGGTAGGCGTTTGTGTACGTATAATATTATGTATTATAAGTGAGCGGGTACACGAAATCGTACAAATTTATATATTATGCTCGCGCAGATCCGGCGGATTTAAATGGCCGGCCCCGCCGAAAGTGCTAATTCGGTTATGCGCGTTTCGCAGCCATTTCGACGATATAATAATATTATAATAATATCGGTCGCATTTTGATTTCAATAGATTATACCGCGGTATAACTAACATAATACTATATTGGCACAGCCGGCGGATGTTTAAAACCGAAACCTACTGAAACTGCGTTACACCAGCAGTACACTGCGTATGATACGGACACCAAATAATCATCTTTGGTCCTCCCGGGGAAGAAGAACGTAAATCGGCTCTTGATATTTGTTTCCCTTGATTATTTTAGTCGAAACTGCCAAAACCGTTGTCGAACACCGAAATTCGAACCACTCAAGTCATCGCTGTTATCGTGACGTGCCCACTTTGTGTTCGCTAACATCATAATATTTAATTCGAACCGTATTTTTTTTATTACATTTTTTTTTTTTTTCGTAGATTTTTATATACGACGGCCAGTGGCGTTTGCCATCCGTCTGTTAATTGGTGTGTGGTGGTGGATCCGTGATGGGTACCTGAGCCTTTTTTTTTATCGAACCGGTTCACCTTCTTTCGATCACAGTTCGTCGCCACTGTTGGCCATATTTTCAGGGGCGTCCGGAAATCGGGCCACATTAAACCTTGTAAAAATTTTACATCTACAGCAGGTAGGTCCGGTGATTGGGCCACTATTTTAAACGATTTTTTTTTTTTATTGAATCCGGTAACTGGGCCACTAGATTTTAATACATTTTAGATTTGACAAAAGGAAAACCATTATTGAACATCACTATTTTAAACTATTTTAAACCATCTTTATTGTTTCTTCCGAAATTACAAATTTAATTATCTTGTGTTCTTTGTAATCGATTTATGTTGACAGCACTTTTGAGTACGGTGCAAAACAATTTGTATCACATTATTAAAAAAAAAAAAAAAAAAAAAATTAATAATTACTTGACTAATTGTATGTTTTGTTTACTTAAGGCGTACGTTTTAATACAATTAAAATTATGTATTTTTGTGCTATACATTCGTGGCTCAATTTCCGGATACACCCTTTAAAAACACACGTTTTATTTGCGGCCCGACACCCGGGTAATGAAATGTACGAAAATATTACTTCCGAAGCATGTGGGCGAAATGCGGCCCGGTCCCCGACCGCCCGGGTTTTCGGAGGTTGGGCTGCAGTTTATAGCCGCGCGGCGTTTGACGGTTTTTCGAAATTTCACCCGCCTATGTCACCGACACGGAATCGACTCGTTTCGGCGCGACGACGGCGGGACCGAGCGCGCGTAACAAGACCGACGGCGATGTTCGAATCGATAATTTCGCGCGGTGTCAACGCCGCGGTCCGTTTCTTCGCCCCGCGGTTTAAACCGCACGAAATTACGGGGACGTGCGCCGCCGCCTCCCCGCTCGCGCCGCAGCTATCATGCGACGCCTTACGCCGATGTATTATAACCACTTGAGCGCCGCGGAGAATATTATCATTATCATTATTATTATTATTATTATAACGTCATAAGCGGCGATATCCGCGATCCGCGCGCGCGGAATCGCATTAATGTTCCCGCTCGCGGCGGCGGCCGAAATCCGCTCGGCGGGTACTCTGTCCCCCCCTCTCACTTCTCCCTGCCCCCTCTGAACCCCCAACCACACAACCCCCCCCCCACCCACCACGCCACGCCACGCCACGCCACGCCCGGCCGAGGTGTGCAAATAAACAAAAGAACGGCGCGCGGACGGGAGATATAGGGAACCGTCGTCGCGACGGAGAGCGAAATCCCGTCGTCGACGGTGCGATACGAGTACACGCCGTCGCGCCGTGCGGCCCGCGCAGCCCGTTTGAAAAGAGGGATCGTCTTTTATGCGCAATATATACGTATACGGGGGAAAAGGGAAAAAGGATAAAAAAAAAAATAATAAAGGTAGGAAATTCATTTTTCTGCGCGAAAGATTTCCTCGTACGATGTACGCGCATAAACGTATTGTACGCGATCCGGACACGATATATAGGCGCCGCGGTCCAACGATACGTATTACGCATCATCATGGTGGCGATTGCGTTCACGAAACGAATTTCATTCCGCGAGACGTTTCGTTTTCTGCGCGTGATTTTCCTTCTTTTAGATCCTCGACGGAACGGGGAACGCGTGTTGGTCGGTGTTACTACAGTTTTTTGTTTTTTTCTTTCTGCGGCGCAACTTTTCTACCAACGATTTCCGCCCGATTTACAACGACAGCGTTTAAAAAGAAATACGACTGCGGAGATACCTAAGGGATGTAATCCTGTGATTTTCCCGGGAGTTTTCCCGATAAATGGAAAAAAAACGTAGGATAAACCGGAAAATAGCTGCAATGTTAAACGAATATGCTATTACGCCATAATATGACAACACTATCAACCGAACTCCTATCGGAATCGTTGTTTCGTTTAGCAATAGCCAATCGCTGCTTACAGATATATAATAAATTACCTATAACAGTGGTTGCACCCGTCCCCATTATGCTAGGACAGCTTTTTTCTTTTTCTTTTTTTTCCTGTCGATTAATTAAAAATTACATTTTAGTTTTTGAATTTAAAACGATAGGCCGCGATATTATTGCGTCGTACCGGCCGCGCGTATACTCTGATAAAATCGTAAAGGAAACGTCAACGGTCACCATATTACGCGGGGTTTTTTTTTCGTAAAACGAATTCGAACAAGCGAACTCGAAATTTAAACGCTCGCTGGCGAATAATTAATACGCCGGAAGGCGCGTACCTAGGTATACACGTAATATTCTGTCGTTTTCGACGTTTTTCGAGTTTTTCGTAATTTCTGTACGCCTATAATGGTACCGCGATTTATTTATTTTTTTCAAACCGTTTTGTCCGCACGCCTACCCGCGTCCCGCGTTCGCGTTTAATTACTTTTTCGCGCGCACCTACGCGCATCATCTCTTCGAGTATATATCGCACTAAAAAACGTTTCCGGAGCGGGTAAATAATAACTCCGTCGCCGTTGCATATAAATCTATTATTTACGACATTCCGCACGAAATACGCATACCCGCCCGGCCCATACAATGGCATTTCGTATCGTTTACGCTTTCTGTATACGCGCGCCGCCGATGCAAATTTTAATTTATGTTTATCTGTAATAAACGGTTTTGAAAAATCTCCAGTTCGAGACATAGTTATACACACCGACGAGCAGCATTGTGCGTGTATTCGTATACAGCCACGGTACATAATATTTGCGTAATATACGAGTATACACGGCCTATCCGTTAAACATTTGATAATATTACGGGAGGGGGAGGGGAGGGGGAAAGGTACGTATATATTATTTCCTTTTATAAATGATACATCGCAGTCGGTGCGACGATAAATCATCGAGTACCCGAATTTAATACCGTTCGCCGATAGCGAAGCCGCTCAGAATTTAAACTCTGCTGCGTGTGTCTGATGCTAGAATTTGTTCCCCGCGTCGCACATATTAATAGGTGTATAGGTTTACTTTATTCTTTTCGAGGGCACTTATCGTAATACATCAAAAAAAAAAAACACAAAACAAAACAAAAAACATAGTTTATTATCACGTACACCCTTCATAGGTTAGTATAGTTAGTGTTAAAAGTTAGTTCGTATATAAGATTATTAGTAGATATTCAATTATCCATAAAAAAAAAGCTGTTAAAAGAAACTTTTTTAATATTTTTACTCGCCTAAAAAAGTATTTTTCGAGATAGCGAACAAAAAAAAAAAAAAAAAAACAACAACTTAAAACTAATAGCTTCCTATCGTTGTGCGCCGAGAATATAAAAACAAACGATAAGAGACACCGACTATAATGGTTGTTATTATTATAATAGTTTAAAGGATTTTATCATTATTACATTTTTTTCTTTCTTTTTAGTATAAATATTTTCATATTTTTTCAATACGTGATATCAATGTATTTTTTTTTTTCATATAAAATGGATAATTTTGGATTCGCGGGGCATTGTAAGTAAATAAATAGTTTGAAAATCCTGAATGATGAACTATAGAAAAACCCGCAGGAGATCCCGGAGACTACGGGAGTACCGAAGATACTGAATTTTGTGTAGGCACAGTGAAAAACCGACGGTTTCGGCGCGTGACGATTATACCGAAATCGGCAGACCTAAAGGCGGTGGCGTTTGAATGGAGGCAAACTGAGAAGGCACCTTTCAAGAACGTATAAAGAAAAGCGGTGCATGTATGGTGCGAAACAAAACCAAGAAAAATTCGGTGTAGACAAGCGAGTATACACAATTCTTACGAGATTGACGGCAGTGTCTTTTTTTTTTTTTCAATTTTAGGATTGATTAAATGATGATTGATGTTTCTTTGCACTTTTTTTTTTTTCTGTCGCTTATAGTTCTTTTATGGTTTACGCAGCATCTTCCATCACTCGCTCCATGAAAAGTGCTCTAAGCGTTCCCCTTTCTGATTCGCATTCTCTATTAATGCGATTATCCGAAGGGCTATGATTTCTTAACAAACGTCCGAAGCGCGATTTTCTTCCGATATTCAGGGTTTTCCAAGCGTCATTCTCTTGAAAAATCTAATCACCCATTGTATTAATCTATGTCCACGGAATTCTTAACGCTCTCATACGACACCGTACTTCAAAAGCTTCTATCATGGCTTTCTCTACCTTCAGCATTACAGTTCACAAGGCGGAGATTGTGATGGCGAAAATTCTTGAAAAAAGTCACAGAGAGCCAAAAAGATAAATTCAAAAAAAGAATACCTATACAAACCGCGAAACGTACTACGATCGGTAATAATCGATTGTGCGTTTAAATTCGGAAAAATAAAACTTTTATTTGTCGAACAGCAAATTCGTTTAACAACAAAATTATATTTTAGTGACATAGGTAATAATATTAAGTGTCGACCGGAGCCGCACTACACGAAATTGTAGGGGACACGCGTATTTACCGCCCGATCACAAAAACCGATAATAATATTATTTCTCTTACCGTCAAATAAAGAAAAAAAGTCGGGAAATAAAACGAAATACTTACATGGAATTTTCGTTCGTTTTTCTTTTTTTTTACCCTCATTGTTATTACTATTATTATTTTTATTTTTAAATGTACCTGTGCGCATATTCATTTAAGTGCAGAAAATAACTCAAATGACGTACCTACCTAAAATGAATATGCCAATACGCCGCCGACAAATAAATGCATCGTAGGCACACAGGGTGTCCCACGAAGATATGACAAATGTAGTATAACTTTTGTTCTGGTTAATATTTTTTATTTGTAATAATTACTAGAGCCTTTTACCTAAACCATAATGTTTAGTAAAACGACGCGTTCTAATTTTTTTTACAGTTTCTTTAAAGTTAAAACATTGACAAAATTATTTTTCGCGTGCAAATTTATGAATCAATCGATATTTGAATTACAATAATAATATAAATTAAATACTCGTCGTCATTACAGTAAACATTTGTAACACCGACATTAAGTAAAAAAAAAAAACCGTCTAGACTGTCTTGGATTTCGCCAAAAAAAAAAAAAAAAAGTATGTATACGTAGGAATCAATAGCGAAGGGCTACATATAGTAATATTATTTTGTTATGATAAAAACAAGAAAAACTTAAAAATATCGACCAGAACAAAAGTCATTGCGTTTGTCAGCAGCTTTTACATAATAAAATAAAACGTTGAACGCACAGTCGCGGGCCTGCAGTGTATATACATACTAAAAAAACGGAAATATATTTTTTTTTTTATTATTATTATTATTTTTTAATTTTTTTTTTTTTTTTTGACCGTCTTACAGCGTGACGTAAGCGGCGTAAAGATTATGTGTCTCCACGTGTCGTCATTCCACCTAATAATAATAATAACGCAATATAACGTGTACGGTATGTCTGTCTAATATAATATTTTGGTCACTGCAGAATAACTAGTATATGAAGCCATATTATCGTATAATATAATATATATATTTATACACATATACTGTGATCCTAGCCGGGAGGAGACCGTTAAATTTGTTTCAAACGGGTATTTTAATGTCGCCCGGCGTAATGTCGTTTTCGGTTTTTACGAATAAAACCGCCGTCGTTTATACACGAATATACAGTCCTACAGGTACCAGAGACCATTCGAACGCATGTACCAGATGCCTATTGAGAAACGTGTAGATATACAGCGGGTTTATTAATGATTAACCTTCGGAACGTCCCCTCCCCGACTCATACGATCAAGAGGAATCGGATGGCAGAAATGACGAATCGAACGTTACTAAAACTACTGCAACTCTGTATACCTATGTAGAACATACCTTTTCTGTAATTCTATTCGACTACGAACAAACACTAAAAAAACAATTTGTCCTCTGAATTTTAGTAAATAGAAAAAACCCATTACTCCCCCCCCACAATCCCTCAACCCTTAGAGAAATTCGATAAATACGAGACTGTACGCGGCCATCAACTATACTTGGATGGAACGAAAAATAAACCAACATATACCTAATGTACCTAATTAGAATAAAACACTAACAAGTTGAAATATTACGGCGGAATTCCTTCTGTGAAAATAAATTGCAAATAATTTATTCGATCAGAATAATATTATTTGCAGTCCTTTCAGAGTCATGACAAATTAAGGGTAATTAGAACAGGATAATGGCACACATTTAAATAACATAATAGTCATCTTGTTAAAGTATAGATAATCGAATATCATTCATTTTTTTTTTTTTTTTTTTTACACTAAACGACGGTTGCCGGGAAATAAAAAATTCTGGGAGGAATAAATTGTACGATTTCTCAACCGTCGTTTGTTTTAAACTCGCGTAAAAATTATATTTGTTTGCATTTCAATTGGAAAATAAATGTTTACGATACTATAAACAGTACAGAATCGTGGAAGAATTGCATTTTACGTGCGAGATAATTTTACGACGCGATAAAAACAATATGTTTTTAACGTTGTTGATATCCTATAATAGGTATCTACTATCTCCTATATAGTTTTTACCGATCTTTTGTTTTTAACATAATGTAGCCTTTATTATTCTATAGGTATACAAGAAGAAAAATAATTTTACGAATAATAAAAACGAAAGAATAAACGCATTCCATAAACGGTCATTCCGTGACAAAATGTTTTTCGACTATCCTATAGTCGCTACAGTCGAATATTTTATTTCACGCACCGTATATCTAATTATTTATTTAAATTGTATTTTTTTCACTAGACACGGTAAAATAGCAGTTTTAAAAAAAAAAACATCAATCCCGTCCCACAGTTTACAAACGCTCGTTTGCAGAGTTTAAGACAATGCATTGTTTTAGAACCCAAAGTCTACAGTACAAAATGTAAAGTGTGCATCTCGAAATTCCATCACGTTGTAAAAGAAAAACCTGTTCTCATATGAAAGGGCGCTAAAAGAACAGCGCCGTCGCGAGACAGGGCGCTAAAAATGGAAAGGCACGTCTCTGTCCGTAGTTCAGTATGCATAACAATACGAACCGGGATGCTGCTGTAGGATGAAAAGCCGAGAGATCCAGAGGATGACTGATGCAAGGGTACACCGGAGATAACAATAATTTCGTAATGACACGGAAAATCAAATGGTTTTGACATATTGTGATGTGGGAACAGGAGAGACGGCGAACATAGAAGGCGGCGTAGCCGTCGAGTGGAGACCCCGCGACCGGGCAGACAACCGTAGAGGACGTCCGACGGAGCGACGAGTGAAAGGACGGGGTGAAACAAGTCCTGGAGAAATTAGTTGTAGTCGGTTGGCAAGAGATGAGTGTATTGCACACAATCACGAGGAGTGGTAGGCAGTGTCGGTGATGGCAGTACTGAGCTCTTGAAGATTCGTGACGCCGGGAATAAAGAAAGAAATATTATTATACTTTTGCATCACGCTCGGCTTTTTTTTTTTTTTATATAAATATTATGCATAAAAATCGCGTGTAAAATTGTTTTACATTATTATTACATTTTCTTTTCCCTTGAAATAATACGATTAAGTATATAAGTCTAAGGGTTTTACGGTAAAACAATTTATTTTCTTATATTTGATGCTAAGTAAAGCTTGACGTATTGGTTTTATTATGTGTTTTTTTTTAATTTTTTTTTTCTTTGCCTGTACACGGTTTTTCAATACAGTTAGAGGAAAATTTGTTTAGCACATTAATTGATCTATAGTAGCCAGTGCATTGAGCAGGTTATTAGTTTTTGATTTTTTTATTAGATTTCTCGAAAATATTAGAAAAAATGGTAATTGATTGCATAGTTTTTTTTTTTTTTTTTTTTATAACTTTGTTATCTTGTCGAAATAGGAAATAATAATACTCTGCTTAGAACCGTTTTTTCGTCGTTCGCAATGATGTTTATCGTTGCGTACAGATTTAAATTAAATTTTACGCGTCTATACAAAAATCATTTCCGAAATTTCTCCTGAAACAGTGGCGTGCCCGCCGGCCATCGGTACTAGCATTTATAATACGACAATGCGCAGACTATATGAATAGGCAGTATGTTTAAACTAGATTCTATACGAATATTTCACCGGCGTTTTAACGATCTATATTTTAGCGGCTAGAAACTCGACCAGAGCCTTGTTGTCATTGCCTATTTACGTTTTAAATAATGAAATTTCAGTCGTTAACACTATGTATGCATAAGGATCAACAATATTCCGGGGTAGGCGTATTAAAATATATTATTGCTGGTGTTTAAACTGCGGCTATTAAAGTATTAATACCGCCGAAAGACAAATAATAACCTGTGTCCCGACGACGTAGCATAGTCGGATCATTTTAATTATAAATTTTGTCTTAAGTAGGTATATGCGCCGGTTTTGTATGCAGTTTTTCCTCGGGTTAGAACGTGTTCCGTCAATATTACTTTACGTTATAAAGTAATACAAACTTTCAGCTGTGTTTGCGTTGGACGTTTTAAGGTAGGCAATGAGTGGGTATTACACTGCAGTTTGAACGTCGTTTATGATCATAACTTTATGAAAATTATACGCTGAAATTAATTTATCGACAGAATTACAGACAATTTGATTATAATATATTTGCGTATCGTAGTCATGTATATATTTATACGTGTATAGGTAACACAAACGTAAAATAATAAACATCCTACCAACACTGCCGTCAAATCGGTAAATAAATAAAAACCTTTTTAGTTTTTTTTTTTTTTTTTTTAATTACGAAAATTAAATTGATACAATTTATCAACGAATAAAAGTTCTTTAGATGTTAAGGGAAATCAAACACGATATTTGTTCGCCAATTTATAAAGGATCGTTAGAACCACGAACAACAAACATCCGAACAGAATTAATATAACGAAATGCAAATAAATTATAAATATAAACAGTTTTTCTAATAAATTTAATAGAATCCAGTGAGAAATATTACCGTGTAAAACGTATTGGACGTAGTTCCCATTAATTAAATTACATCGGAATATATTCACCGTTGCGTTTTACACGGACAGATTATCCAGTTAGTTATATTAATTTTTATTTTTTATCCGGGTAAACGGGAAATGAGTCGTCTGATCCGATATCTGAAATAAATAATTGAATCGCCCAGAGAAATCGATTGTATAATATTACCTATGTAACGTATAATTTATGCATCGTTTTTTTTTTTTTTTTTTTTTTTTTTTTTCCTATTAACTCAACCTCTTGTTATTCGACGCGTGTGTACATAACTAATCTTTCCTTTACGTTATAAGCAAGTATTTAGTTTTTGGATAGGCAATGAAAAAAATTATCTTTTTTTTTTCTCGACAAAATTAGTTGCTTATTAGATCTGTCTGTATAAAAATTATACATTTGAAATCGTTTTGTATTTTCCGTCTTCATAGTGATAACTATTTTTGCTATTATATCTTTAGTTGGGTATGTTTTCAATGTTTAACAGTAGCTGGTACCATTGGCGTAGCAAGACATTTTTTTCTGAGTCCGATATGTATGGATAGGAAAGACTATTAATATGCGGTTCCTTACTTTAAAATCGTTTTTGTTTTGATAGTCATACAAATATTGTTACATCGTGGAACAGGTTTTAAAATACCATATCCAGATAAAAATAAGGTTTTTACATGTCGTAATTAAATGTTTACTTCTCGAGGAATGTGCGTATGTTGCGTCCGCTGACAACGCCACTGTTGAATACAACAGTTGTATCAAAATATCTTTTCTACGGGTAATTTGTAAAACCAACTAGTAAAATGTGATTACTGTGTATATTATTTGATTTAAATGTTTTTTTTTTCTTTTTTTTTAACCTGTGTAATTTCACGCAAACTCCGGTTCATCCAGTATTATTATTTTGGGACATTGATCGAGCGGAAATAAATATTTATATAATCCGTGGATTGAAATAATGTACGTACAAATTATATAGAACTTACTGCTGTTGATGAATCGTCAAACGTCGAGAAGGTATTTTTTACATTTTTTTTTTTTTTCTATATTGGTATCAGTAATGTATACTCAGTGCCCACGGCCCACTAATATTGGCAAGAGTATTTGTTTTGTTTTGTTTTGTTTTTTTTTTTTTTGTTCGACATACGAAAAGCCCGTAGGAAATATAATTTGTGTGATGATGTATAATATATTGTGATATTTATACGCAGTTGTTATGAGATCGTTAAAAATACACGGTCTTGAAAAAGTTTACAAGTCGGGCGTGGTTTTTTTAAGATTTTGAGCGGAGCGGAAAATGTATCGGTATTACTTTTTACTATAATGTGTGTGCTTATCAAGCTCAAAACAAAAGACAAGAGATCTTTTTTTTTAGTTGCATTTCGAGTCTAGTTGGTGCGTTGAAGCCGTTGTTTTTTGATTTTTCCAGTCATTTTCATAATAATTGGTTGAAACGGTCAAATTTACGAATTTTATAATTTCATTATTTTCGATTTTGTTTTTTGTTACCTATTCGGTTAAAAATAATATTAGACATTTTAGAGACTACACATAATACTATAATTATGATTATTTTTAAATGTAGTAAAAAAAATGTGTGTTCATTTTTTTTAGTTATTTGAAGGCATTTCAAGTTCTCGAGTTTTTTTTGTTTTGTTTTATATGGACAAAATTGTTTTAGTCTTGAAAATTTTACTCGAAGTTTGTCATAAAAAAAAAGTTTAGAAAAGTTTTTTTTAAGCACTTTAAGTTCAAATTTTGACGTAAATTATACAAACAACACTTCATTTCAAAACATATTCAACCGAACTTCGTATTTCGTTTGCGCTATTTTATAACAATGTACAGATTTAAATTCAATAACTTAATATATTCCTAACTTCCCAACTTCCCATCTACAGCAGTGGCACACCGATCAATAGTATCGGCTCTTTTTTCGTAGATTCTGAACGAACGAGAAATTAAATTTTTTTTACGCCAGTCATCGGTGTCACGGTACGATTTTTTCGCGCCTATATTTTTATTACTTTCGAGGTCATGTAAAAACAACCCCTGCCCCCCTGAAAATAAAACGCAAAAACGAACCCTCTCTCTGTTCGAGAGGATTTCGTTTTCGAGAGTTTTCGTCGAGATTTGTACAGCGTGTGTGCACGGTAGGCGGCATTCGCATTAGTTTGTTATAATGTTATCGTTTGGTTATTATTTTTATTCGTACATTGTGTGTCGCGAACAGTGATACACGTACCGTATTATATTATTAACACAACCGTCCGTATATATTAATAAAAACAATAATAATAATAATAACAGAGCCAAGAGCGTTTAGCCGGGCGCACTGATATTTTAGCAGCGACAGAGAGAGAGAGAGAGAGAGTGAGAGTGAGAGAGAGAGAGAGACGTTAATTTGTCTGGTAAACGGTTTTGCACGTCGTCGTCGTCGTCGTCGTGTTTCTATTTTTGCCCGAGTCGATCCGAGCGGAGCACGCGGCGCTTACTGTTTTTTATTATCATTATTATTACCGCGGTATTGTAATTTATTAAATTAATAATAATCTAGACTGTTAACTGCCGTATCGCACCGACGGTTTTGGTTAAAGCGGCCCGACGGTCGTTTAATTCGAGGCCCGCGCGACCTTATCCGCGAGCATTTTACGCCGCGTCACCCGAGACCGCGGTTGTTGCGCGCAGACGTCACGTCCGGCGCCAGGGCTCGGACGTTTTAAATCGCAGCCGGTCCCGGCTGGATTCGTATTTAGAGGTATATAATAAGAAGACATTATAAACGATGAATCAGACGTATCGGCGAAAATACGTGTTTTTCCAATGACTGCGCATATGCCTCGGTCCCGGAAGAAACGGTAAACAATTACCACGTCTCCAATATCAGCTCACCTCTCCGTGTTTAGTCCACAGGGGTGTCATTTAGGGGAGGGTTGTAGGAGTAACAACATACAAATGATTATGACACGAAAACGATTTATCGGTAGATAATCTGCGATAAGACGAGTACAGAGTTCGATTTAAGATAATTAACGGATATTGAATTATGGTTGAGAGGGGCCTTGGCGAGCGAAGCGAGTTGCTTTTATTTGGCATGGGCGTACAATTTTATATTGACTGGGCCGATCACTATGACGCCCTACCCCGGCAAATGACGCCCTTGCCATATGGTTTATATCGTTTTGGTCCGCGGTTCTGTGCAATAACCGCGATACAAAAAGAAAAACCTATATTTTGATCAAATCGTTAATTGCCGGTGGTTTTATCGTTTACCGCACTTTGAGAACGTCGTAATATTCGAAAATATACTTTTGTGCGCTTGAAACGAATCTGCAGAATTTTTGAGCGCAAAGTGGAAGGAATTGGACGACATCGAAAACGGATAAAAAGAAAATTCTATCAAATCGAGGGCCGGTTGAGTTAACGATGGACTTCCGCCCGAAAAATTATATCGTTGCCTCATCAAATTTAACCCGGATCAATATTGCCGTAACAGTAACTAATATTAATACCGTTTAATCATATGATTGAATGTGTGCATCGTACGAAAACTGATAAAATATTAGGTTTTTCGAACGATTCGGGATCGCGGTTCCAGTCAACAGATCGAAAGTATTACCGCGGAACTGCGACGGAGGAAACGATAATAATATTCTCTCGTATATTATTGTGTCACTCGGCACTCTACGCGGAAAAGTTCGCGCACTAAACGTATTTTTAGGAACAAATCCTGCTGCTGTTGCTGTCGGGTTGACAGATAATAGTCATCCCGTCACGAACACGCCGAATGTGATCGATATTATACTACGACGTCATATTATGTATATTTATTATATTTTATATAGTAGCTCGGTTTCGTCTTTCGACTCAGGAAGCTGTGACGTAATTAATCCCACTCATACGTTACGTGTGTATGTATCACACGAATACAGAATACATATAATATCAAAATAACGTCAAAAAAAAAAAATGTTTAAAGAGGTCATTCTTTGATTTTCGACGCCATTTTTTTAAATAAAAGCACATAAGTGGAAAACGTAGACAAAAATACAATTTCACGATTTCGTTATTTTATAAAAACACGGACGATGTGTTCTGTCAGAAAAAAAATTATTTAATTGAAAAATCACAAAACATCTTTTTTTTATGCCTTTTTGATTTACTTTCTTACGGTATCACCCCAAAACTTTTGAGGAATTTTAAATTTTGGGAGTATTTTGCTGTGATTCAGTTATAAATACACGTAAAGACTTGAATAATACTTATATTTAACTTACCTAGACGTAGTAAAATTTCCAAAATTATCAGACAACTTTTTGTTTTTTTTTTTAATAAATGTTTTGAAATCAAACTTAAACGAAAATCTTAAAAGAAAAATACGGTATTTCAAACTATGTATTATCGAATTGCGCTCGGAATCTTCTTTCGTCAAGCAATGGTTTATTGTTGCTTACAGGTTTAAATGAAATAGCCTTATGTATTCTACCTTCCCAACTTCTCACTAACAACAATGGCCGCTTCCATCCTCATTATCAGCTCTTTTTTTTTTTGAACTCACTTTTGATTTTTACGATTTAAATCCTACTAAATATACCAACTTAACAAAATTCCCTATTGGAAAATATTTTGCACACATACGATTATAATAAATATACATATATAATATTATATTTAATAATTTATTATTTGTGCCATAATCGCCATATATGTATTGTATATTTGAAAAATATATTGAGAAAAATATTGATGTGAATTAAAAAAAAAAAAAATGAGAAATTATTTTTGGCGGTAATAAAAAGTGTTAATATCCTTACTATAGACAGGTGTATAAGGATAGATGGTTATAGATACTATAATGTTGGAGGTATAGATAGAAAGTTGAACAAGAAATATACTTTAAATGCAGGAACTCATAACGATAAATGATCGCAAACAGAATTTGATGGTTTTTTTAATTGGAAATTTTAATTAAAATTGAACGTTTAATTATAAATGTTTGTTTGTTTTTTTTTACCGGTTGGTTTAAATAACTTCAAACGTTTTGTGTACTCGTATTACGACTATCTGGCCCTGCAATCATTTGCTATTGCTACGCAACTAAATTAAATATAAAATAAAACATTTAGGCCTCCAATTTATTTTTTTTTTTGTATTGGTCGGATCGAATATATTTTAGCTAAAAACTTGCACTGGACAACGCAAAAAAAAAAAAAAAAATCCACGTAAAAATCGGTTCAGTAATTTTTTGAGACAATTTTAATCTCAGATATACTAACATCTATTTTTACACATACAGGCGTACAGCTAAACCCTGACATTATTATATTCAACTTATATTTTTCTTTTTATCACATTCTCGAACATTATCCACCTAATGTTACGTATTGATATTTTCAATTATACAATCGATTATAAAGGAAAACAAATCTATAATATTAATACAATTTCTACGTTTCAGAGAAATTGTGTGCATTATATTATTACTTATACTGTGTATACATAATATGTGTACTATACGATTATATACACGACGACGGCCGGTATATTACAGAAAAAAAAAAAAAAAAAAAACCCTCTAAAGTTTATTTTTTATGGGCGATAAACACTACATTGAGGAATTTAAAAAAGAAAAAAGAAAATCTAAATGCATCATACGCATTCAAAAATATTTATCGTTCGCAGTCGAGTATATATATATATATTACAATATTCTCTTATTATATCGCACGCTATATACAAACTATAATGCAGAACATATAGTATAAATATTAATAAATATTTTTTTTTTTTATTTTTTTTTTACTACATTCAAAAGTAATAACGTGTTTGCGTATACGATGATATTCAATTATAGATTTTTAAAATAATAGACGTACGAAGAAAATGTTATATTTATCGAATGCTATACGGTTATCAATACGATCAAAAACGATAATATATCGATCTCATAGCCCAGTGGTTTATAACCCTTTTAGATCGCGTGCTCTTCTGAATTTGAAATCCAAATTAGCGGCTTCCTTGTGAACAATGATAACAATGTAAATACATTTACTGTATTACTCTGCTGTATTTGCTATAGACGCGGTTCCCTTGACACTAAACCGCAACGCCCCTGGGAGCCGAGGCACACAAGTTGAAAACCACTGTCATAGACGTAATATGTCGTGACTAATGAAATTAATGTTGATGGATTATACGACTATTTGAATGTAATCGTAAGTATATATTTGTTTTTCTACATACAAGATGTGTTCGGTAAAAACACTCCAAATTATTCGCATCATCGTGCACACAAAAATATTCGGATTATTCGACCGGTGATACTTTATCTGTAAACTATCTATTTACGTCTTTAAATATCTATTCAATTTTCTCTAAATTAAAAAAAAAAACTGACAACAAATGACGATAATATATCATATTAGTTTTAATTTTGTTGATTTATGGGTTATGTTTTCCCCTCTTATTGAGGCAAAAACATGACTAATATACCTATTATGATGCTAACCACGTGATCCGCTTAAAATTATTTTTTAACTGTAAAAAGAATATTTACATGGTTATGTTATGTTAGTATTTACCAGATTATTATAAAGCATATATAGTATATAAAATGTTATAAAGAAGTTATTAATAATTAATTTTGAACTACAACCAAACTTCGTTAGTGTAGTTATGTTGTACCTAAATATATATATTTTATTTTTCTTCAAACCGGACTATTCCCCAGTGTATGATAACAATAATAATTACTGTACCATTAATAAAATACAAATGACATCAAAGATCACACGCGTACATACACACAAGCATGTTAAAAAAAAAAAAAGTACATTAATTCTTTTTGATATCTTCTCTCTCATACATTTATATATATATTATATTAGTACCACGTTTTAGGTTTGAAATATACATATATATATATATATATATACGAGTATATGACCTCTGGCAAATGTGCTTTTTTTTCTCATCTAGATAATCTTCATTTCTAGCAAATATTATAAAGGTATAAGAAAAAAAAAAGAACTTAGCTACACACCTAGGTATTACATATAAATATAATATGCTTTGCTCTTTCCTTTGAAATTTGACATATATTTTGAATATAGGTTAAACCATTTTCAAAAAGGTATAAACCGTGCAAAATATAATCTTTAAACCATATATGTTATAATGGTTTCATACAGATATTTGATATTTGCACACCATGCGAATCATATTGCATGCATACAATGATAATTGTACAAATAATATTTACTTAAATAATAAATATCTAAATTAAAACGGTTAATATTTATCCGGTTTGTAAAATAAATACGTAAGCATGATAGTTGACAAAATAAATGTTAACTTGTGTACAGTATTATTTATCACCGTTAACCTAACCTGTTGCAGTGTGATAATAATAATTAATAAAATATAATATACGCACCTAAATAATTTTTTATAAATAATTCTCGTTTTCATTGAGAAATTTGTGGTTTTTATTTGCACATAAATATTAAAAACGCGATTTATTTAATCGCTGATATTATAAATTATGTACACGAAAATTGATGATGTGTATTTAGCTATACCTGCTTACTTAAAATAATTTGTATAATGTTAATTTTGTTATTTGTACGCGTACATATTTGTATTTCGATAAACTATTAACAGAGGCGAAACGCAATAAATATCGACATAATATCTCAGTATTGTATACACCTGCAGCAAGTGTATAATAATATCCTTTAAAGTTTAAGCACTTTTCAGACATCAAACACTGCGCGAGAATTAATTGAAATCTAAAATGTCCATCACTGCGCGCTTTTTTATTTATTTATTTTCTATTAATTTAACGCAAATATATATATATTATAATTATTGCTCGGTTAGGTTCATTGTGTCAATCTAACAGTCTGGTGATTAGCCGCGTAACATTGAGTACCTGTATAACCTAGTATCTGTTTTTTTCCAAAAAAAGATCTAAAGAATATCTGTGACTATATCATACAGATAAACCTGCTTACCGTTACGCTTCTATCCACGGGCACGTGTAAATTATGATTTGAAGTTATTTGAGCACAGAATACTATAAAATTCACACGTAAGTCCTTAAATATTTAAAAAAATATTTCTCTGAGATGCAGATGATGCAGATATACATGTATATAAATAGAATTTTTAAGGCCGGTTGCCGGTTGAGAACGTTTCTTTTCTTTATGCATTTAGGCCAATAAGCTGGAGTAAAATAAACATACTTCCAGTGGTTCATTTTTTGTTTTGAACAATGATTTTAGTTCATACGTGTATTTGTTTTCTGTATTTTGTAAGAAAAACATTTTCATTCTTTTTTTTATGATACTTTTAAATACAGGTTTGTTTTAAAACATAATGGTAATCTCATCGTGTACTTGAATTTTACTTAAAAAAAAAAATCAGAATAAATGCTTCGATAAAAAACATACACAAAAAGTGGTCTTTTACGAATACCGATAATTAGAATTCACGATTGTTTAATTAAAAATATGTGTTTGGTTTAGCTATGTATTATATATTTCCTTTAATAATATTCGTTTATTTTGTACCGAATTTCCCAATTTTCCTACGTTTTTCCCGGTTTTATCCTAGTTTTTCAAATTTGATGCGAAAACTCTTGAAAAAAAAAATCGAAAAATGACTTCTCTAAAGTATCTCGCTAGTGAAATTTCTTTTTGAAAATATTGGTATCATTAAAAGTTGGAGCATAAGTGCTGGTAGAAAAGTTGTGCACAGAAAACAAAATCGTAATATTTTAGTAATATATTTCATACATTTTCCCGTTTTTATTTTCGGTTTTTCAAATTTGATGAGAAAATCATTGGGAAAATCGACGTGTGTAATGGGGAGGTACTATAAGGATAGTACTTCCTCACGTCGCTTTCTTTTTAGAAATGGTACTACACGTAGAAATCCGAAAAAGTCTTCCGGTAAAAAAGTTGCGCACAGATAAAAAATAAAAAAAAAAACATCTATGTAAGCTTCTTCGATCCACTCAGAATCAAAAAACAATCAAAGAACTCAAATACGTTTTTTAAATTAAAAATAGACGAGAGGTAATGGGTTTATTCTAGTTTATTGGTCAAAAACGTCACGTTCGTCCGTAAAAAACTACCTCATAATGGGTATCAGACGGTATAGATGGAAATTATAGTGGAAAAGTCTTAAAGGGGATAAGATAGTCATTAAAAGGTTAAGCAAATTTTTATGATTCAGAGAAAATTTGAAAAACCGTTTCTAACCGTTTTGAGGGACCAAAAATATTATATTTGATAAATCGTATAATGATTACAGTATTATTCGAATACAATAAGTTTAATCTTAATTATGTAGAAATATTTAATCGGGAATTTCATATATTAATTTTTTTTTTTCTAAAAAAACTTTCTTCTGGTAATTTTAAATTCTGAGTGTAGTGAAGAAGCTATTGGTTTTATTATATGATTTGTGTTTTTTTTTTTTTTGTCGCTTTCTCGAAAAAAACTTTTTAACTATAGTTTATAGTGAAAATATATTATATTTTAAAAGATGAAGATTTTTCGCCCAATGATACTTTATTTGAAATATTTTTTTGAAATTTCCGATACTTTTTATGTTAACAATTTTTATCGTTTAACTCCCATTTTCTCGCAGAACTTCAAAAGACGCACAGAAAGAAAAATCTAGGTAAAAAGAGAAAAATAACGATCGAATCAACAATTTCTTTATAACATAAGGGCAACATACCAGGTTATCGATTTCAAAATTTCAAAATTGTTAATAAATTCTAGATTAAAAAATATTATCGATTTGATGAAAATTTCAGTTTGGTTCAATAAATGATTAGACAATTTTGAAATTTAAAATCTGATGAATTTATAATAAGTTTTGTTTGAATTTGTACAGTTTCCGTTTAATTAAACAAAGTTGATGTTTATGTAAAAATCTTAAAAAATCTCTACATTCAGAGAATTGTATAATATTAACAATAGTATATTGTTAAATTTATAAAATTGCTATTTATAATGATCTTTATTTATAACAATAGAGAAGTACATTGTATAATCATATTTACGAAAAGAGAGGGGTTTGGATCACAACCACTCCACCAAAAAAAATCAGCTGTTCTTCCCTGAATTAATAATTATTAACAGACAGTATAATATGACTGTAGGTTCACTAGGTTTTATTTTAGAAATTGTGCCCCCTTCTGAAATTTTTAACTCAAATTACGCCTATAAATAATATTTTAAACTCCGAGCGGATGGAATTATCTATTATGTTAACAATGATATTATTTTTTTTCTCTCAGTAGTGCCACTATTAACTTAATTATACGCATGTAATTACGTAGAATGTTGAATGTTAACATACAATATTCCATACATGATACCAATATTTAATACTGTAGATAGTATATTCCTTTAGATGCTTACTTAACATGGAAAACTTTAAACTTCTGCCGGCGTTACTTCATACGAAACATAGATCAATAGAATATGTTCAACTGGTCGCTTTCCCAACTTGTTTAATATTAATTACATAAATTGTACGAGTTTAATATAGGGCGTATTACTCCATTATATTAGGAGTACAGACCCGAGCAAATTCGCGTGAGAAATAAACGAGAAAAATTAAACACGGCAGAATAATTGTTCTTAGATACGTATATACAAATTTTATTCGAGTATACTTTTTTCGTCAACCATTTAATCGAACCGACCGGAATTAGTTTCGCTTGTTACCGTGTTATTTAAGGACTTCTTCATTAAATTTATACGAGTAGGTAGATGGTCGATGTCATTTGAGAATATTAAGAAAAATATTTCAACCTTGAGATATATACGGTCAATTTCTGCCAGACAGGAACACAGCCGCGCGGTATTTAATTATTAAATTATTTACGAATATTATAACGTTTAAATAAATTTAACCGCGTCAAAAGAATATTTGAAAAAAAAAAATAATGGTATTCCGTCGACGAATAATGTTTAATCGTAATATACTTTAACGATAAACTACGTTCTCGTTATAAAAGAAAAACGATGCACCAAGCACACATTAAACTATATTATTATAGTCTACACTATTAAATTGAATTATTATTGTTAATTTTATTTTTTTATTTTTTACGATTCACGTAATTTTTCATTCGGTGTTACGAATCGATAATAATTATTACATTACATCACGTAGACGTATTATCTACGTACTTATTGGTGTATAATAAGTCGCAATAATTTGACACCGTAAATTTGTCAACACTGTCTTCTATGATTTATTTTTTTCTAAACACTATTAAAAAAAAAAAAAACGAATTATACAGCAATTAATACAGAACCGTGAAATTATAGCTATAACGATGTCCGACCTGTCCAAGTTGATTTATTTGATTTTCACGTTGTCAACCGATCGTTTTATAATTACTGATTGTGCTCTTATATACATACGTTTGATTTTATTCCAGTCAGAAAAATCTGATTTTACTATACGAAAATTGTTACAGGGGCTCAACCCGTTTAATTATAAATATAAACAATGTGAAATTGTTCGTGAATTTCGAAAATATCGATTTTTTTTAGTTGATTATGTTTGAAAAACCATATGTCTGCTAACATAAAAAAATAACACAGTACGTCATGTTGTTTCAAACTGCGTTAGGGAAAAAAATCTATTCTATTTAGTCACCCGTTTAACTGAGTGAAAATATTAAATTGTTTAGTTCGGTTATATTTTAACGGCGCACATTTTCCGGTAATTTTCATCTTAACAGTGTATAAGTGCGCTTATACTTCTACAGAATTATAATTATGTTAAAATATCGGTACCTATACGTGCAAAAATTATTATCAACTATCAATGTTCTCGAATACGGATTTATAAAAATAATTGCAGTTTAAGATTTATTATAATTACGATATAACAGAGTTGAGCTGTATAAATCGGTTCCAAAAATAAAGAAGTACTAAAATACGTGTCTTTTTTTTTACAAATCATCGTTTTACTACCGAGAAAGAAACGCGGTCCGCCGATACAGGAAAATTAGGCGAGAAAATGTTCTTGAACTAGAGAAATGTTCGGACCAAGAATGAAGACAGTGAGGAGCAGGGACAAAGAAAGAACACGGACAGGCTTATTCAAAAATACGAGCATATTATACCAGTAGACGTAATAAGAAAAGGAATACTGCAGTTTGAAGAGTCAATAAAGCGGCGATGGAGCGGAATCCTTGTGGAAAATTGAGAACGAGGAGAAACCACTTAACGAAGACAGAACAAAAAAAGGACGTTAAATTACTCGGTGGGTTCTAGGTGTTATAACTGGAAATAAAAAGTGTTGGATAGAGAGGGACGGCAGACTGTACGTGAGACGACCGGGAAGCGTTTCAACGTACTCGTACTTGATACAAGCCACAAACGCGAATAGACTTCACTGAATTGGCTCTTTAATTATTTGTCACAAATATTTATAGCATCGATAATATGATTTCAATAATAACTGTAATAAACGTATACGATTTCGTTAAGCGTTTTTCACTGCCGACTCAAATCTAACACTACGACTCCGGTTTATGTCCTGTAAGTGTAAACGTGAAATCTAGTCAGGGGCTCGTTTCGATACAAGGGAACGTTAATACGCGTCCCGGTCCTTATATTGTAGAGGTGTAAAACCCGGAGTAGACGAGAAAACAAATTTCACGTATTTCGTGATGTTTTTTTTTTTTTTTTTAGTAGTTTCTTTTTTAATGAATATTATATATTTTACTACTCGAGAAAATTAAAACCGATGTTTCACATCGGCACTCGTGTCGGACATATTAGCAAGTTTTGGAGTTCGTTATCATATAGGTTTCTAGTACCTACACGTCCGTGCGAAATAGGTATATAATGCGATTTGTTACGAAATAAATTACAACGTATATTATATTATTATCCCCGCGCTATTAAACTTTGTAGGTGTATTTTATTATAATATATAAATATTGCGCGAAATATATTCCGGTGCCTGTAATATTCTGCAACAATAAACGCTGCAGAGACGAACACCGCGTCGTGTCGTACTTATTATTATTATTATTATTATGGTTTTATTATATTTTATATTTTATTATATTATGGTATTATATTTTCCCTTATACTACAACATCATACAGGTTCCAAAACGGCGCACGAATGTATTATTATTATAATGATGTGTTTTTTACACAATGTTTGTTAACATAATAATATTTTGTCGTTGAAAGGCCACAAACGCGCGCGATCGAAAACGTCGGCTCAGGTTACTTTATATATACATATGTATGAAAATAAAAGATGGACATACTTCGCTCGGTGGGTGGGCCACTGTTGTAAGCAGGTTGTAGAGAAGAATTTAATGAATATTTGTAAAATTTAATATTAAAATTCGCATTAAAAACAAAATTACTACATTGAACCGAACTTTTTTTTTCGTTAACCACTAAGTACAACTTATAATGAACTTCCTGTTAAATTGTCATCCATTTCTGTTTGGCTTAACAATTATATGTCCAGAGTACCTAAAAAAAACTAGTAAAAAACTCGCTAAATCAAAATATTTGTAAATAGTTTAAAAATGGCTCAAAAGTTTTGAAAATTTTATCACATTTATAAATGGAAAATATAAGGTTTTGATCCGAATTGAAAGTAATAAAAACATTACTTTCGTACATGTCCCGTTTTTCTAAGTTTTTTTTTTCCAATTATTTTGAAAACTGCATCAAAAATCAAAAAATGACTTCCCTATAATACCACCCCAGGAAAATTTTTCTTACAAAAAAAAGACGCTATACTTGAAAATCAAAGCAATATTTCTGGTAGAATTCTAGTACACAGTGTTCCAAAAAAAAAAATAATAATAAGCATCATTGCGGAACCGATACATTCCTCGCTTCGCTAAGAATCTAAATTTAATAATAATTTAGCCGGTTAATAAAAAGCGTATAACTATTATAATATACGTAGTAATCCCGTTTGTTTTAAGTTTTCACCGAATCACCTAAGCATAGGTAAAATGTTTTTGGTCGATTCTGAAACATTACGTCCAAAAGAAAAACGATCGATAATCAGAAGTGCTCCGTCACTGTTATAGAGACGAATTTTCTTCCGTATATTTTTTATTATTGAATATATTTTCTATAAAAAACCGATTAACGACTTATATGTACAACACAGAAGATCGATAAATTATACTATTAGACACCCGTTAAAACAAACAAAAAGATGCGATTTGAACACAAAAATGGTATTTGAATGTAGAAACTTGAAAAAAGCATACAACCTTGAAACTAACGCGCCGTGTATATACACAATTTCATCCTTCTAGTGAAATTGGACGAGTCTGTATAGGGATGTTCAAAGCGAAAAAAAAAAATACATTTACCTCCCGGAACCATATGGTCTCTATTTTCGGAGAAAATTCGGCTAAAAGTTATTTTTTCATTTTATACATTATTTTATGATAATGTAAATCATTAGTTTCCCGCGTAGAACGGCAATATTTTATTATTAATATATTCGAGTGAAAAAATAAATAAAACGCAAAAATATGTCGTAAACTTGACATTTTCGGCAGCTTCAATTATTATAAGACATAGACGTAATTTTTGTTAGCAATTTCACAAGTTTCTGCGAAAATATTTATAGACATTGCAAGTATTATGTAAATACACGGGAAAAAATAACGAAATTAAATATTCAAACGGGCCCTTAAATTATAATTTTTATAACGCTGTTGTTTACTCCACTGGTAACATTTATTCCTGCAGTTATTAATAATATTAGTTATGTATATTTCGTGTATATTTATAAAAAAAAAAAAGAGCTGATATTAGGGATGAACGTGCCGCTATCATTACCGGAAGGAAATTGAAAGGAAGATATATAGAGTAACTATTAATTATATCTGTACTACCGCACGCAACGATAAACCATTGCTAATGATAAACGATTATGAGCAGAGTAGGTATTATTCGTCGTACTTTTTGCCTTATTGACAAGGTATCCCAGAAATGAACAAACATTTTACAAAAAATTTCCCGGTTTTTTCTCTTCAGTTTATTAAGAAAACTACAAGGACAATATAAAAATAACCTCCTCAATGCACCGACTAAATCAAAAATGCTACAAAAAAATTCCCTGTACAATTTTTTGATTGGAACAAGAATACTGGTAAAATAAATGGCTTAAAAACACATAAGTTACATAAAAGAAAAACAAAACAAACATACATCATAGTAAAACCGGTAGATAAATTCTTCGCTTCGCTCCAGAATTAATGTGATAATTGTACAAAAGCTGCGAGGTCCACAAAAGAAAAAAATTGGACGTAGGTTTTGTTCACTTGCTTTTTGTGCGCGCACAAATTTTCTATATAATTGAATTAGTAAAAAATAAAATATGTATACATTTTCTTTATCTTTCTTTGAAAATTTAGCCGTTGGAAATCAAATACACAGGTTCAAGCGATCTTGGCGACAGGAGATATACTTCGGTGCGATTCAATGAAAGGATTATTATAATAGTTTCAAAACCTATTTCGAATAGACACAAATTAAATTTAAATTATTTGGTTATTTTCTGAAATTATGTGAAATTATATCAAACAAATTGTTTTCCCTATTTAGTTTTCGTAAAATATAATTTGTTTTTGATTCTGAGTGCGGCGAAGAATGTATAGGTTTTACAAAGACGTGAACACTTTTTCTACCAGAAAGCAAACTACCCGAACGAATATTATTAAAGAAAATATGCAATGCATATTTAATTATTTTACCATAATATGACGTAAATATTGGTGACAACAATGCTGTAATAAGTAAGCATCAACTAAACTCCGTTCAGAATCGCATTTGGTAAGCAATGGTTTATCGTTGCTTACAGATACAAATTGATTTTCCCTCTATATGCTACCTTCCCAATTGCTCACAAAAAACTGTGGCGGCAATAACTGTGCGACGTATGTGCGTCTTTTTTTAAATTTTAAATGTCAAATTCACACGCACGCCGAACGCATATATGTATTTATTTTTTTTTTTTTTAATTTAATTTATCGCGTTCGTGAAAAAAGAAATCACTCTAAACCTCCCCTCTAAACCTCCCCTCTACCGCCGCAAACGCATATTCGTTTTGAACTGTGCGTATATCCCTTTATTATATTAAAACAAACGTCTGAACAGTGCGTTTAAAACTGTACCGTCGATGTAATGCGATAATTTCGCTCGCTCGCATCCCGCGGTCAGTTAGGATATTGACTTTCAACGCTCTGCGCGTGCGCGATCGCCGGTCTAACGTACCCGTATACCTGTACTTATAACGTATACCTACCGTTTTAAAAGCTGTACGCAACGAAAAATCGTTAAGTTTTATATAATTGAAAATCGTAATTAAAACGTTTTCACTGCTAACGCGGATGTTAATAAACGACATACCGTAAAACGCGATCGGATTACTTTTTTAATAGCTATATATATAATATTATGTTATAGAGTTTATAAGTCGGGTACCTGTATAATAATACGTTTCGTACGCCGAGAAGAAAAATAATGGTGGAAGAAATGTTATGTTTTTGCACTCGTGTAGTGAAGAAGCTAAATATTATGTAAATGGTATGTGTTTTTCTTTTCTTTTTTTTCCTCAGGCAACGCCTTTTGGCTTACCAAAAAATCGGAGTTATACCCTCTCACCGCCATTAGCTTGAAAATACAACGGCTATACGAGTAATTATTTTAGATTCTGAATGTAACGAAAAATTTATCGGTGAAATGAAATCATGCTCCGATTTCCAACGATAGCACATTTTCTGAAAGGGAATTTTCCTGAGATTGTATTTTAAAGAGGTCGTTTTTTGATTTTCCCAATAAATGGGAAAAACATTGTAAAAACTGATAAAACTGGGAAGATAGACATAATATTAAAAACATATGTGATGCATAAGTAATTTTTTTCCATAATATGACTTGTATATTATTGACTAAGTAACACTATCTACAGAATTCCGCTCATAATCGTTTTTTTTTTTTTTATTAACAATTTATGGTTGTTTACAGGTATATATTAAATTTCCTCTCTACTACCTTCCCAACTTCTCACCTACAACAGTAGCCCACCCACGTGCGAAGTCTTTCGATAAATTTAATCCTGAAATGTTTGTACGCGTTACGAACAGAGTTTACGACTTTTTTAGACGCCAACGTGGTTTTTAGAAACGCTAGATTTTCTGTTTAATAATCAGTTATTAGTGCAACACTATCGATACCGTCTTCGGACGATAACGGTCTGGTTAAAAAAAAATCCTGGTCCAAGATGTACTGTTCAAATGTTTGTTTAAGTTCTTTATCGAATATCATTTATATCTGAGTTATTAAAGAAAATATACACAATAATAACACAAATTTTAATGTATTTTTTAGAATTTGTATGGCATAAAAAACATTTAATGACGTTTTTTGGGGGGCTTATAAAGCATTACATTCCCAGGCCTGGCCATAATATACGAGGCGCGGCAATGCTATGCATGTTATACAACTGTAGATACCCGCTGCAGATTACCGTGCTCCGCTCAGAACCGTTTGTCGATTGAAATTGTTCCTTCGTCGATTTCAGTATACATGATATATACAAGATCCTATTATTTTTCTATCGCCCGTACAACTACGCCAATTTCCACCTACATCAATGAGATCGGCGGCCCACCCATGGTGCGAAGTATATCCGGTATATTATTTTACGTTTCCATCGCGATTTCACAACTCAAATATTATTAAGCCCGTCGTGTAACCTATCACGTGTTCTTTAAAACGACGCGCGTAAACGTGACACACGGTAAAGAAGAAGAAAAAAAAACCGATTCCGAATTATCAACGATGAATTTTCGGTTCGTTAACATTCGCGTAGCGTCACATATCTACGTCGTCGTGACCATACTCATATTTTCTAAAACTATAAACTCGGACGCAGACGCATAAAATAACACATTATTATAATGTGTAGCGCAGTGTTAATTTAATAGGTACGATTTACACTATCGGCAATCCTTGTTTTTTTTTTTTTTTTTTTTTTGTTGTTTCGCAAATACCTTTTCCTCCAGTAAGTATATTATATATATACCTACCAATAAAACGCATAAAACACCCATATCGATTTTCGCTTTAGAAAATTACATTAGAATATCGGCTGCAACGACGTAGGTACACACACACATTAGTATTGGCAATAATAATTCATCGTGAACCGAACCTAGTTTTTTTTTTTTTTTTAAGTGGGAAGAGAGTGGAAATACCTAGTGGTATCCACTACGGGTGTTGATTTATAACAACTCATTACAATATAAACGAAAAAAAACGCGTTATTAATATCGAATCGGAAACAAAAAAATAAAAATAAAAATTTTACTGTTTCCGATAGTATGGTAAGTACGCGTTTTTATAAAAATAATAAAACATCATAACTATTATTACGAGTTTAAAATTTGTGTAGGAAATATTATACAATATTTAAGTACACTTATTTTTATACAATATTATATTATTATTCATGTCCATATTACTAAAAAAAAAAAAAAAACCACTTCTGTGCTTTGTGCCAAATACAAATTTAACAATGTCCTGCAACTAAATAAAATACAAATAAAAAATACATTTCGATTTGATTTTTTTTTTTCTAAAGCTATTACGAGTAGAATAATTATTGTATGATATGCGACAGAACGATTTATGGTTAAATTGGTTTCCTTTGTCAAAAACCTCAACAATATTCAAATTCGTTTAAGTGCACGCGAGCTCGCGAAATACTATTTATTAATAAATCCTTTTTTTTTTTTTTTTTTTTTATAGAAGCACTGTCCGTTATTTTTTGATATTTATACGCATTTAAAATAAGCAATCAATACTATTAAGACGTGTCCTACCCAATGCCGGCATCATCACTGTGTTTTCTCCAGCCATCGACTTTGCTTTCCGCTCCTCGCCATTATGTGTGTTCTCTGTTGCTAGTCCGAATTACTCCGGGTTTTTTGATTTCGTTCATCTGTATACGTATTCCTAAAACGATTCTGGATGGACAGGCGTCTTCACTCGACTGCCCGTCGCTATTATTAGGGTACGCTGATTACGGTCTCCTCGTCACACGTTCAAACCACTGGATTCTCCGAGAATTATTATACTATTATATTATTATATTTATAAAAATTTCGTGATTAAACAAGTATAATTATTTTGAATTTGAAAAAAATAAATCGTTACATTTAAAATACATATTTTAATTAGTCAAATTATAACGACTAAACTACACGATTGCATTCAGATTGATTATATGTTAATTTATGACGATAATTATATTGGACAGTGAAGAATTTAATAATCCTATGGTTTAATATGTGCGTATCGATTTTTTAATAGATTTCAAATGTTCAAGTTATACACGATTCAATACAGCAATACATCGGTAAATTTACTGTTTTTCTTCTTCTCCCCTGGCTTTTATTATTCCGCACGAGTTATCACCGCCAAAATACCCACTTCTCTCAAATTGTCCCGGTTCTATGAAAAAAATATTTTCTCCGATCACACACCGATAAACTCTCGAAATATTGTTGAACCGCATTTCACTGGGCGTCCCTCGAGGTTTCTAAGTTTTAAATTCATAACCGCTTTGACGGTGTTTTCATTTTTTCTGCGCATTACACGTATCCGAGTCACCTAGTAACCTTTGAAGCTTGTGATTGCGGTCAATCCTATATATTTCTTCCTGTAATTCCCCATCGAATTTCCTTTTCAGCCTTCCGGAAATAATGTCTGGTAGACTCTAGGTCATAAATCGCTCGCCGAATTTTATACTTTCAAATGTTCCAAGTCTACGAGTACTGCTATCCGTAAATATTTTAACAAAATTACGGAATACACATCCGAACGGAAATATTCGACGTAATCTCAGTACGTTTAAATACCTTAACTACTATAATAATATGATCACTAGAGTCTGGATTTAAATGTACTTAAAATCTATAAAAAAAAAAAAATTAAAAAAAAAGTGGCACTTAAAAACGAGAAAAACGCCCTGAAAAAATCCTCCAAGAAATCGAAAATAGTATAAGGGTGTAAAAATCCCCCTCTAACGGATTTAATAAGTAAGATTCGTTGAGCAGGGACATTTATATAAACTCCTCTACCATTTTTGTTTTTTTTTTTTAAACGCTTTTTTTTTTGACATTTTTTTAGTGCTATTTTGTGGATTTTAAAGCGCATTTAAATCTGGGCCTTAATGATCACCCGTTCGCAGGTTATATAATATAATATTATTAAATCGCACCGTGGAAACTGCTGGAAATGACACGTAGCGTTTATTATTAATATAATCGCAATAGAATAATAATAATAAAAAAAAAAAAAAAAAAGCATCTATG